GGCAAGACAACAGCAAATCAAGTGGTGCAGAGTGACAACATCATCACAGAAGTATCTTATTGAAAGACGTTGCAAGCAAAGAGAAGGAACAAGGCTAAGATACATTCAACATACAGGACGAAGCAGAGAGAAGCAGTTTGAACACAGCAGAGGATTGTAAAACCTTGAAATATTTCTACATAAGCGCTGATGATGAGTGGAATCGAAATATAGCGACCCATACGCTTCATCGCGAACACCAACAACCTTCTTAGTAGTTTTAATAAATTTGTTTATAGTTATAAAATTACTGCTAGAAGTTTTGGAAACCTCACTCATTCGTGAACTTTCAAAAGCTAAAAATTTGGTAGATTTTATCAAATATTGTATATATATATAATATAGATATATATGTATATATATGTTTATAATTGTTGTTGTTGTTGATGATGATGTCATAGCTTCATACTTTCGTTTCGTGAAAATGTTTACTTGACGGAACCATTTGTTGTTGTAGTTGTTGATGTAGTTGTTGTTGTTGTTGTTGTTGCTGTTGTTGTTGATGTTGCCGATGCTGTTGTTGACGTTGTTGTTGTTGTATCTTGAGATAATTCGCAACATCGACAACATCATGACATATTTTATTGACGTCATCATCAACATTACAATTTTTATTGATGTTATTATTATTATTATTATTGTTATTATTATAATTATTATTATTATTATAAGCATAATAAAAATCCACAAGAAATAGAGAGAACTCGGTGAGAATCACAAGAATTAAAACCATCAGCGAGGCTAAGATGAAACATTTTACTAATAAGTAATTAAGGATCGGTTTCAGTATTGTTCCTTCGTAGTAGTAGTAGTTGTTGTTGTTGATGTTGTTGCAGTTGTTGTTATTGTTGTTGTTGTTGACGTTGTTGTTGTTGGACCAAGCAAAAATGGCATCAATATCTGAATAAAATTGTCAATAAAACTCAGACATAACACTAGATGCCATATTTCTTTGACGTCATCGTCGTCGTCATCATCACTTTGTCATCATCATAATCGTATTATTATTATTATTCTATAATCATTATTCTATTATTATTATTATTCTATAATCATTATTCTATTTTTATTATTATTATTCTATAATCATTATTCTATTTTTATTATTATTATTCTATAATCATTATTCTATTGTTATTATTATTATTCTCATCTCAGCTTAAACGTCACCAACACGCACAATGGTCATAAATAACAACAGCCAACAACAACAACAACAGCCAACAACAACAACAACAGCCACAACAACAACAGCCACAACAACAGCCACAACAACAACAACAGCCAACAACAACAACAACAGCCACAACAACAACAACAAAAACAATAATAATGATAACAACATCAGCATCTTCAACTTACATTCGTCACAGCATCGTTCTATCTTTTTCCTCCCATCATCATCATCATCACCATCGTCATCCGTAATGACGTCATCATATTCTCCAGAGTCGCTATCATCATCGCCATCTTTCTTATCGTCGTCGTCGTCGTCATCATCGCGATAGTTGCCTTTTATTATTTCTTTCTTATCTATGGTCATTTTATTTCATTGTTTTATTAATGACGTCATTAATAATCGAAGACGAAGAAATTTTTATTGTTTTATTTTGTAGTAGAAAAAAAATAAAATAATAATAATAACAACAACAACAATAATCATAATAATAAAATTATTATTATTATTATTATTATTAATATTAACAATAATAAACATCATAGTCATCAATCTAACCATGGATGGAGTCGCTCAGTTGAGTAAAGCCCAGTATGGCGTCATCTAACTCAAGTAGGCTGGCGTCGAACAAAAAGTTTTGGAACGCCAAATTCGTTTCAAAATTATTTATCTTTGTTCGGTGGTATCTGCAGAGGTATGAGGTGGCAGGAAACCTTGTTATATATTTATTTTATT